ATGATTCTGTGATTCTAAGTGGCACGCAGACTAACGAACCACGGATCTGAGACTGTTAATGAGCCTATGAAACAGAGGCAGCACCAGGCCAAGGACAAAATAGCACACAGCAGCTAGGCTTAAACAGGGAAGGATTACTGGGGCAGCTGCAGAGCTGCTGGGCAGCCCTCAAGGTATACAAAGCTCTCAGTCAGCTGGAAACAGTAATCTGGAAGGTGGAGGCAGCAGGAGGGACTGGGGAACAGGGACTCACAAGGACAAGCATCCATGCCCACCACAGAGAGAAGGAAAACCTCAAGTTGCAGATGTTGGGGCACGGTGTGGCTGAGGGACAGAGGCTGGAGGTGCTGCAGGGTCTGTCCCCTGTGCAGGACAACAGGGCACTAAGGAAGCTGGCAGGGGACAGAGGTGAGACACAGCCCATACGAGCTGGACCAGCACAGCCCAGAGCAGCCTCATCCTCCAGCCCAGCCAGCAGCTCTGCCAGGCACTGGGGAGACCTCCGTGGGGAGCCCAGGTCACCAGGGAGGGGACCCCACTGCCAGTCTCAGCCTCCCTAAGCTGGTGGTGACAAGAAAACACGTTTGCAGAGCCACATTCTGCTGCTGTTTGGTCTCTCATCATCCCCACCACGCTCCTTTGGGCTGAGGAGGTGGAAACCCTGACTGCAAACACCCGGGCAGGCAGCCTGCTGCCCCGAGGAGCTGCTGGCACCACAGGGGCACCTTCCCCCCCACGCTGTGAGCCGGGGAACTCGCCCGTTTACCCAGAAGACGTCGTAGATGAAGAGGCCCCCGAGCAGGATGCAGCCCGTGCTGACGTTGTTGAGGTGCAGCAGCTCCACCCCGTTGAGGGAGAAGGCCAGCCCAAAGAGATTGTTGGCAATCCAGTGCTGAGAACGACAGGAAAGGGAGATGTGGGTCCTGCTCCACGGGGCTCAGCCACCGAGGCCTCGCAGGGGAAGGGCCCCGGGTCTCATCCAGCCCGGTCCACAGCTCACTCACCTTCCTCAGCAGGTACCAGACCCCCACCACACTGCTCAGAGCCAGGCACACCAGGTCCTTGGAGTCAAACTCGTAGTTGACAATTTCTGCAATCAACCAGAGGCAGGTCAGAGGTGGGAGCCTGGGCAGCTCCCCCCCCCGAGGTGGGGCAGGGGTCAGTGGCTTCCCCACGGCCCACGGGAGGTGCCCATGGGCAAGGAAACTGGATTCAGGCACTAAGGCAGGGACAGGCAGATCTTCTCCCTCCTCCTACACCAGTTAGCTCCTGGGGGTCCCATTAGAAGCAGCACCCCCTTCCCAGTAGAGCTACTGGGCAGGAGATCTATCAAAGCATCTTCTACCAGGGCAAAAATCTGAATCAGACCAGTTAAGGCAGCACAAAAAAAAGTCAGGCAGCTACATTCAATTCTTGAGAAGAATCCCAGACTGGTTTGGGTGGGGAGGGACCTTTAGAGGTCACCCAGTGCAACCCCCTGCAGGGAGCAGGGACATCCCCAGCTAGAGCAGGGTGCTCAGAGCCCCGGCCAACCTCCCCTGGGATGGTTCCAGGGATGGGGCAGAATGAAGGCAGTGCACAGCCACAGCTCTGGCCCTGCAGCACTCTGGGGGCTGGTTCTGGGGGTTTGCTGCCAGCCAGAGGGTGTGAGAAGATGGAGAGGGCAGCCCCAGCTCTGCAGGGACACACCAGCTGCAGAAGCAGAGCGGGGAGCAAGGGGAGGGTCTGAGCGGGTTGTTTCAATGGGCTGAAAAGTCAACACACCCAAGTGAGCAAAAACCAGAGCAGTAAAGGCAGAAAACAGCAAGGCCCCTGAGAGGCCAGAGCCAACGTACCCTCCTTGCTCTCCCCGGAGCCCTGGGTGAAGAGGAGCTGGTACTGTTTGTTGGGGAAATTTGCAGGGAAGAATCTGTTCATCATGGGGCTGAAACGAGAGGTGCAGAGAAGAGCAGCTCGACAGACACCCCCCAGGACGTGTGGCCCAGCACCTCTGTGTGACAGCCTGGCAGCACAGAGCCCTCCCCAGGCAGGGGCACGCCTGATTTGGGCACATCTGGGCCCAGCAGGAGCCCCAGCTTCAGTCCCTGGACACAGGGCTGACAGTCCCCCAAAACGGGCAACAGGCACAGAGCAAGAAGGGAAGAGTCAGCCCAGCCCCCTGCCCCCTCTGAATGGCAGGAGTGAGACAAAGCCCTTGCCCAGGGCTGGTCCAGGGAGAGCAGCTGTTCCCCAGCACCCTGGAGCTCAGGAAACAGGAAACCAGTTCTGCTTTTTCAGTTACTGAAAGAGCCTGAGCTTTCAACAGCTCCTGCTGCGCCGAGCCCCAGCAGCTCCTCGGGTGAGCTGGCCTTGGTGGTGACACCCACAACCCCCACGAGCTCACCCAGGGATGGGTGCTGCATCACCAGGACCCCCAAGACTTCGGTTCTCCCACAAGGAAGGGTTCACCCCACCAAGGAACAACACCCTGAGAGCTGGGACCTGGCTCTGCTGCACAGCAACAGTGCTGGAGAAACCCCCAAGGAGCCGGCAGCCTCAGGCACCCCCACTCTGGCCACAGCCCCCCCTCTGCTGTACCTGATGGTGTGGGACAGGGCGAGGATCCCCAGCACAAAGAAATACATGGAAAGCAGAAGATTGATGTACTCTTGAGAGAATATCTGCAAGAGAAACCCAGAGAGGGGGGAGTTACCTCAGCGGCCTCCCTGTCCGCAGCACTTCACGCTCCTCTTGGCAGCTGCTGTGTCAGAGCTCCAGGGAGAGCAGGAGAAGAGCTGGAATAACCCAAATTCCTGCCCTGCTGATGGGAAATGTGCTGGAAACAGCCTCAGCAATGGGCTCACGAGTCACCGTGCAGCCAGGAGCTGCTGGGGTCAAAAAATAACTCCTGCTCTGCAGAAAGGAGGACAGACCTTCCCCAGCACAGCACAGAGAGAGGCTGCCCCAATTAACCAGGCTGTAATTAGAACTCCTGCCCTAGCAGCGGGTCACAGCTTACAGCCCAGTGTGGTGGGACAGGTCTTCTAGAGCCCAAGTGTGGGGAGGAGCAGCTGAGGGAGCTGGGGGTGCTGAGCCTGGAGCAAAGGAGGCTCAGGGGAGACCTTCTGGCTCTGCACAGCTCCTGACAGGAGCCTGGAGCCAGGGGGGGGTCGGGCTCTGCTCCCAAGGAGCAAGAGGCAGGACAAGAGGAAACGGCCTCAAGTTGCCCCAGGGGAGGTTGAGGTTGTCCCTGAGGAACAATTTCTTCCCCTGGAGGGTTGCCCAGGGCTGTGCCAGGCTGCCCAGGGCAGTGGTGGAGTCCCCACCCCTGGAGGGGTTTCCAAGCCGTGGAGATGTGGGGTGAGGGACACGGGGCAGTGGGGACCTGGCAGTGCTGGGGGACAGTTGGACTCCATGAGCTTAAAGGTCTCTTCCAACCTAAACAATCCTGTTATTCAAGGCTCTACCTCTGCTCGTTGACTGTGCACCCCCAGAACTTCCCCTGGCCACACAGGGGCTCAGCCCAGAGCGAGAGCTGCCCCTGCCCTGCAGCTGAGGGGGCTCTGAGGCCCAGCAGGCAGCACAGCCAGACACAGCAGTACCTGCACCTCAGCAGCCCCTGGTGTCAGCATCAGGGCAGAACTCACCTGCCCGGGCAGGGAGGGTGGCAGGGGCCAGCTCCAGCACCCACGGGCATCACCCACTCACCTTAAAGAAGAGGTAGAGCCCCAGGAGGGTGCAGCTGGCCACGATGGGGAAGCGGGCAGCGTCCCGGCTGGTGATGGTCTCCGGCATCTCCGAGGAGTTCTGGGCAGGGAAGGGGAGGAGAGGATCAGCCCCTGCCCTGGCTTTGTACCCGAGCAGGAGGTGAACAGGGCAGGGCCTGGGCAGGGACAGGGCACCCGCTGGCCCCGTGCTGCCCCTGGCAGTGGGGCTGTGTCACAGGCAGAGCCCGAGGGGAAGCAGCAGCCCTCGCCCTCCTTCCAGGGGCT